CTCGATGTTGTCCGACTGATCGAGCCACTTGTCCATCTCGTTACCAACTTCCACCTTGAGAAATCGTCCGGCTCCTGCATCAACTGGCTGCACCTCGTCCATGCACTCCGCAGGGCCAAGCCAGGCGATAGTGTTGCACTGCTTCGCAACATACCCCTTGAACTCGTCCGTGGTCTGCGCGTGCAAGTTGTCCATTATCAGAATGGACCTCGCCTTGGGGAGCTCACCCCGCCCGCGGATCAGGCCTTCGCGGTACGACCTCTTGGCCTACTCCATGCAGAACGTTTGGTCCGCCCACGCATTCTCCTGGAAAAACACGCCCACGTCCTTGTGATACGCGGCTTTCTCCACCCGCGAAATCCGCTTCCCCTGGCCTCGGAAAATCACCGAAATCCGCATAGTCTTCTCACCCGGACCAAAGATGACTTGCATGGTGCACTTCCTTTTCTCTAGGCCAGCAAAGTGCTGCGAGATGGCTACACGCAACGCGCCTGTCTTCTCCCACGTGTTGATCAGCCCGTTCACGAATGGCAAAGGCACTTGATCCACATTCAAACGCTCCCAGAGCTGGAACTGACCGTACTTGGGATTTCTGGACTCTCCCTCCGCGAGCATCGCCGACACGTCCGATGCCTGGGGTGCCCTGTACCGTACCGGCACTTGCAGGAGCTTGCGAAACCGAGCTTGCGAAACCGCCGGTGGAAGCGCTGGATCTTTGTAGGCGCTCTTCAACAGACTTGTTCTTGAGGTTGCTCCTGCGCCGTTTGGACAGCTTATGCCTCTTTGCCCATTTTCGTGCCCACCTGAAGGACGCGCTGAACGCCGCCGCCCGTTGGTCCTCAGGGTGATTCTCTTGCACGAGCTTCCGGAACGTGACCGTCAGCCACAGGGTCGACACCTTCAGCTTCCTCCTCCGCCGCGCCAAGAACATATTGTACAGCTTCTTCTCTTCCTCAGGAAACCACCGCTTTGGCTGCTGTTTGGCAAGGAGGGTCTTCTTCACGTCATCTGCTGCCGATTGGACTATATTGGCCTCGTCCTGAGCCCACTTCCCGATCAGGCTGTAGTTAACCTTGAGACCGTCCTCTAAGTACTGAAGAGGCGTGAGCTGCTCCTCCTTGAAGAGGTCTGCGGCGTCTTCCTGGAGGAGGCGCAGCTGGGTCACAACATGGGCTTTGAACCTGAAATCGTATCGCTTGCGCTTCACAGCTCCACGAGTCTCCTTGACTTTGCGGTCCGTAAAGCCGTCGCTTTCCAAGTCGAGATCGCGGAAGCGCTTCCGTTGGAGGACGAACGAAGCCGCCCCCGTCGCACCATCGACCTTNTCCAAGTCGAGATCGCGGAAGCGCTTCCGTTGGAGGACGAACGAAGCCGCCCCCGTCGCACCATCGACCTTCACGTGCCAACAACGTCCAGGCCCGAATTCTTCCCACGGCTGGACATACCCTTTGGGAGCCTTCCCTAGCATCCGCTGCAGCCGCAAGCCGTTGGACATGTTTGCATTG